CCCCCCCCCCCTTGTGTATGTATATCGCCTTCACTGGTATTTGTATCCCGATTGTGGTCTCACTACATCTAATGTGACTTGTGTGTTCCAGGGGTCATCCACAATGCCAGCGTGACGTCCGTTAACCCAGAACGGGCCTCGGTCCATGTGGAGTGGAAGGAAGCCGATACATGTAAAGGGAAGGAGGTAAGTGTTCATCATAGTTAGTCTAGATGAAGAGGACCTGTCATGGAGGAGGTATATCGTTCTGAAATTGGAGGTGGGAATATAGACGGCGTTTGGTAGTTGGGTCGGGTCAATGTAGGATATGAAGCTGGTAAAATTATAGTCGCATGAATATTTCAGCACCATTAAATGTTCTTGGGATCACCTGAGGGCTTCTATTGCCTGCCGCACTCTACTGGGGTCACCTGAGGGCTTCTATTGCCTGCCGCGCTCTACTGGGGTCACCTGAGGGCTTCTATTTCCTGCCGCACTCTACTGGGGTCACCTGAGGGCTTCTATTGCCTGCTGTGCTCTACTGGGGTCACCTGAGGGCTTCTATTGCCTGCCGCGCTCTACTGGGGTCACCTGAGGGCTTCTATTGCCTGCTCCGCTCTACTGGGCTCCCCTGAACTAGGGAACCTCCATTGCCTGCTACAGTTTTCTGCGTTCACTTGAGAATTTCTGTTGCATACAATATCCTGCTCTGGTTACCTACAAGCTTCCAGTGGCTGCTATACACTGATGGGGTGATGTGAGTGCTTCTGTTGTCTGCTATATCCTTTTTGGGGGTCACCGGAGGGCTTTCATTGCCTGCTATACCCTGCTGGGGTCACCTGGGATTACAGTTTTTCATTCTGTAGGTGTCCTACATATGTGAAACATTCAATTGGGCTGCCAGTGGAGGGCTTTCTGGCAGCTGCAGGGTTAAACATTTTCACATATCTGATGTCCCCCCAGGGGGCACTTTTTTATGGGTTTATATATACCCCTTATCTCCCCCCCCATGCAGTCTGCATAGAAGGGATTTTCCAGCTCATCCAATAATTAATGTTCAACCATTTCCAGGACATGATCAGCTCTTGTGTCTCCGCAGCCATTTCTCTACAAGTCATCATGAACTTATTACATTGAGTTGCGGGAAGGTACAGGAATGGCTGTGGGTGCCAGTGCAGGCGCTGGGTTGCGGAGGGAATGTAGGCAATGCTTTCCTGAAATAACTGGAGGTAATCCAACACCTTCCCAGGCCGCTCTCCCTCAGGCAGGAACCATACGATTAGAGATTTACTAAGATTAGCTGCTGGGATGTGAGAATATCAGGCAGCCGTGCGGGGGCTGGACACACATACCGGGAACCTGCTGACATGAAGCGGTCACACTGCGCTTATTCTCAGTGATTACCCGCAATCTGAGCGGCCGGATCGATCTGCACATTCTGTCCTCTTCCTGCTGCTGGAGTTTAAAACCCAATATCAAGTCTTTTTTTTTATTTTATGACCATCAGGATGGAAAGAAAAGGTAAGTGAGCGTCAGATGAGAATTCATAATAAAAATAACCACTGCCTCAACAGGTTTCACTGAGTTCCCGGGTCTGTACATTTGTTGTGCCCATTATGAGGAGCTCCCACCATCCCTGTGCTGAGTTCCCGGGTCTGTCCCCCCGCTGTGCCCATTATGAGGAGCTCCCAGCATCCCTGTGCTGAGTTCCCGGGTCTGTCCCCCCGCTGTGCCCATTATGAGGAGCTCCCAGCATCCCTGTGCTGAGTTCCCGGGTCTGTCCCCCCGCTGTGCCCATTATGAGGAGCTCCCAGCATCCCTGTGCTGAGTTCCCGGGTCTGTACACCTGCTGTGCCCATTATGAGGTGTCTTCCCCCCCCCTTTCATCACTGTGCTAAGTTCCTGGGTCTGTACACCTGCTGTGCCCATAAGGTCCTGGGTTCGCAAGAAGTGGGTTGGATGATGCTAGGTGTCCTTCAAACCAGAATAGGAATGTGCTGGACTGTGGCAGAGGACTTGCATATACACGGGCTTTAACAGTCTATTGTGGTGCAGTTGAACCTCATTTACTGTATTGTGGTGTGTTTTGCGAATGTTCAGACTTTGTCTTCATCTCTCCTGCGTTTGGTCTGAGATCTGATTGTTCTCTGATTCTTACAGATCTTGTTTGCTGACATTGTGGCGGTGAATCCGGAACTGCTGGAATCTTCTTATGATCCCCCCTGTAAGGAGAATATGCCCCCACAGAGGAACATGTCCACACAGGTAAGAGCGGGATTGATGGTGTTTTGTTGTCAGCAGCTCTGTGACTGAACCGAGCCAAAGCCTGGACTGTGTGCATGGATGTGTGAAGGGTTTGGTTCCTGCCTGTGCACACAGCCGGGGAGGTTCCACCATTGTCCTGACTCCACAATATCCGTCATTACTAAAGATATAATAAAATACAAATATTTGTAAATTTTGTTTTTAATTTACTTTGATCGAAGTTTTAAAAAAAATATTGTTGGCAAAGTAAATTTTTTAAATATTCTTTTTAAATTGGCAGAGGGCAGGAGGATGGGGTGTACTTCATGACATTTCTCTGGATGTGTGTAGCACGCCCGGCGTCCATAACTGGTCAAAGTATCTCTAAGGTTCAACTTATTGGTATTGTGATGTTGAGGGGGTTCCGAGAGACCGGGAAAGTGAGTTATGGTGGAGGTAGTTGAGGTGGTTCCAAGAATAGCATGGGGATGGAGGTATGGCTGGTTAAAGAGAATGAAGCCG